GGCCGACCTAGCCCATGCCAGGTCAGCCCGTAGTGGGACGTTCCCCGCTCTCGTCCCACATATCGCCACCCAGCCCCTCCGCCACAAGAGGGGGGTGTAGTGAGGTCAGTGAAAGCGGGGGGAAAGGGGATGCGAGAAGGAAGCCAGGAAGGAGTGCAGGTTGGAGGTTGGTGGAGTTCTTATTTCAGCACACGCGTCGGATCACATAGCATAGCTTGTAGGTGAGAATGCCCCGCAGGGACCCACTGCGTAGCATAGCTGCGGTGCACGTGGTCGACGTGTGCTGTGGCCAGTGGGCGTCCGCTTTCCGCTGACGTCGGAGACGTCAGCCTTGAGCATGGATGACCCGCTGTGCTGCTGCCGATCCTGTCGGTGTGTACGGTTGGTTCGAAGGGTAGTGCCAGTGTTGGGTGTAGGAATTTAGCAGCTGGTGTGAGTCTCCTGTCTGTCGTGGAGCAAATTGAGCAAAACTGTGCATGATGAGGTGAGGAGATGGGCGCACTGACGGACCGCTGGAAGGCCAGTCCCATCAAGAGGCGTAGGCCTCGTGATGTGGCCATTCAGGTGGGAGTCTCCTGAATTGCCATAGCTTGGTCGTGCTGGTCGTCCTTGAGGTACTGCTGGTACTCGACCTCAAACGGTGGCCAGGGACCTGAGCCAACTTCTGGTGTGGTCTCCTCAACTGTGCTGTAGCTGTGGGCCTGCTTGTTGACGAGCCGTTCTGTTGTTGGTCTGGTTGGGGTCGCGTCGGGCTTCGATTGCTGGCTGTTCTTTGGAGGCATGTCTGCACCATGGTGGTTGTCCCCCTTGGGGCTCTCAGTCGGTTTGGTTTGGCTGGTAGCGTCGGGCGTCTTTCGCTGTGCCTATGGGATGGGCCCATGTGCTGAAGCATGTTGGTCACCTGTTGATCTCCGCTGCTGTATTTGGTAGTACTTGCTGGGCCGGTCGCTGTTGCTACCATGCTCCTCCTCCTCCTCCTCCTCCGGCTTCAATACCCGAGCTCAGGAGACCAGGGAGGCGATCCTCCTCCTCCTCCTCCTCCTCCACCTCCTCCTCCTCTTCCTGCTCCTCCTCCTCCTCCTCCTCCCTCCTCATCCTCTCCTCCTCCTTCCTCCGCCTCACGCCTCCTCCTCCACCTCCGCCTCCTCCGCCTCCTCGCGTTCCTCCTCTTCCTCCTCCTCCTCCTCTCCTCCTCCTTCTTATAATCCCTCCTCCTCCTTCTTCTACTCCTCCTCCTCCTGCTCCTCCTCCTCCTCCTCCTCCTCCTCCTCCTCCTCCTCCTCCTGGCCCGAGCTGGCGGGCCCGAGGCCTAGTGCTCCATCCGGTCGGCGTCCGCGAAGTATGGGTGCTGCGGCGCGGCCAGCGCGCGGCCGTTGCGCTGCGACGACTACGACGACCACCACCACCACCACCATTACCACCATGACGACGACGACCACGACGACGACGACGACGACGACGACGACGACGACGACGACGGCAGCGACGGCGGCAGCGACGGCGACGACGACGACAACCACGACGATGACCACGACAACAACGACGACGACGGCGATGGCGGCGGCGAGGAGAGCGAAAGAGCGATCGTGAGAGCGCCTTCCCTCCTGCCCACTGCCCCTCTGGGAGCAAGAAGGTGCCTATATCGCTGGAGTCAGAATGGACAGAAGGACGCGCCACAAAGATGCAAGGGCCTTGGAAGGCCATGCCGAAGCTTTCTTAAGCGCGGCGGGCCATCGAAAGTAGACAATGATGGGCCAGACAAGCAAGGATGCAAGGGTACCATTGGGAAGGTTACCCATCCTTGCCATCGGTTTCGACTGTACTCCACGGACCTCTCCTGGGGTGCGTTCTGACCGGGATTTCGAGACGAATCCAGCCGTGGCGACGAGGGAAGCAAAGCGGTACTGGGTACGTCAAGTTCGCGTCGCGATGTCGTCGGCGTTGGTTTCTGACAACCTGTGGATCGTTCAACCTTGAACGAACACGACTTTCCGATAGGGCACTGGCAGCGGTCAACCTTGAACGCCCGCGCCAGGGTCACCGCCGCGGCAACGCGGCGCGAATCTGCCGTATCTTTGTCATGAACAAAAACACTCCCTCAACAGGATTTCTCGGAGGTCCGCGCAGATTGCTTTGATCGGCGACGGCCCTCCCAGGGTGTCGGAGGCCTCGCCGTGGGGGGGCTCCAGCGCCGATCCGAGGCATCCACGCGGGCCTGCAAAAGTTTGTGGTTATGCTGCTGTTTGATCTTCGATACCTGGGGCCAGAAGGGCGGGCGCGGGAGCGCATCGCGAGGAGGCCGCCCGGGGGCGCTCCTGCAGCGCCCTCCTCGCCGAGATGCGCCTCTTGGGGTCGTAGACCATCAGCTGCTCCAGGAGGTCGATGCCCGTGGCGCCGACCTGCGGGCCCGCCCCGCCCCGCAGATCGAGCAACAAAGAGATCGAACAGCTCACAGACAAACAGACAAGCAAATTGGCAGCCTTTAGCACATCAGCGAACTAATCCGCCGACCCTGTCGGCGTGTGTGAGGGGCTTGTCCGTTCGACTCGTCATCTCCGTCATTCGTTAGTCGTCGTCTCTGTCGTCTCCTTTCCCCTGCGCCCCCCCTTTCCCTGGGCCCGTCGCCGCTCCCCTCTCCTTCCCCAGCGCCTCCTCCTCAAGCGCGCCAGCCAAACCGAACTTGAGCAACGTCGTAATTGAGTCGAAGGGAAGCCCCTTCCCTTTGATCCCTCCCCCGCCGGGAGGGGGGGGGGGTCCCGGGGGGGGGTCCCGGGGGGGTCCCGGGGGGGGGTCCCGGGGGGGGGCGCGCGTCAGATACGACGCCCCCTCCCCGGGGATCCCGGGGCCCAGAAAAGCCCGTCGCCGCTCCCCTCTCCTTCCCCAGCGCCTCCTCCTCAAGCGCGCCAGCCAAACCGAACTTGAGCAACGTCGTAATTGAGTCGAAGGGAAGCCCCTTCCCTTTGATCCCTCCCCCGCCGGGAGGGGGGGGGGGGGTCCCGGGGGGGGGTCCCGGGGGGGTCCCGGGGGGGGGTCCCGGGGGGGGGCGCGCGTCAGATACGACGCCCCCTCCCCGGGGATCCCGGGGCCCAGAAAAGCTCCAAGACGGGCCAAGAGTGCCCCAAGAGGCCTCCAAGACGGTCCAAAAGGGCCCCGAATCGCCGAACGACTTGTCCAAGACGCCTTGACGGACTCCAGACGACCCAAGAGCCCTGCAAGACGCTCCAAGAGGCCTACCAGGAGCACTCCCAAGACGGCCCCAAGAAGCTAAATTCATTGATTTCCTATTGTTTTTTGAATGATTTTGGCGTTCTCGACTCTTCCCCTTCCCGACGCTCCAAGACACGCCAAGAGGCCCCCAAGATCGCCCTAAGACGGCCCAAGAGGCCTCCAAGAGGGTCCCAAAACGGCCCAAGAAAGCGCAAAGACGGCCCAAGACGTCTCCAAGACGGTCCTAGAGGCGCCCAAGACGGCTCCAAGAGGGTGCCCAGATGCGGGACCCGACCTGACATGTCGAGCTCTCAGCCCTGAGAGGCTCCCAGGAGGCCCCAAGAGGCTCCAGGAGGCCCCCACGAGGCCCCAAGGAGGCCCCCAGGAAGCTCCAAGAGGCCCCCAAGCGACTCCCAACAGGCCCCCAAACTGCTCCCCAGAGACCCGAAAGAGCGCTCCAAAGAGACCCCACGAAGCATCCCAGGAATCTCACCCACGTCAGCGTCGTCGTCGTCGTCGTCGTCGCCGCCGCCGTCGTCGTGTGACAGCACACCCGACGACGACGATGACGACGACGACGACGACCACAGCGCACTGAGCCAGCCCGCGCCGCCCCGCCGGTGGGCCGAGCCGCGCCCGCCGCCCCCATGAAGGCGGCACGGGCGCCCCTGGCCGCAACCTCACGCCTCGTGAGGCCTCCAGGGTCGGCGGCACCGGCCGTAAGGCCTTCGCAATTAATAGGCTAAGAGACGATTATCCGAACTAACAAGCTAGCAAACTGACGAAGACCAAGACAGCAAGCACATCGAACAACCAACAACTAGGCCAAACAAAGGCTTATTTGCTTGCTGTGCGTCCGCCTGCGTCTCGTTCCCTACATCGAAACAAAGAAGGGCATGAGCAGAATGTCTCAGAGGTCCGCGCGGACTTCCTGGATCGGCGCTGGACCCCCCTTCCTGGCGCGCGGAGCTCGCCAGGGGGTCGAATCTCCGTCGCCGCGCAGCACAGGCTGCCAGAAGCTGGCGCTGCCCCCATCAGCCGTGCCACCAGACGCAACAAAGCAAGCCTCCAGAGCGAGGACAGGCCTTGCAACGAGGGTGCCCCGCCCAAACAAATGTTCGAAACGCTCTTGTCCGCCGCCCAACGCACCTCGCTGCGGCCGCCCCATCACTCGTGCGCCAGACCGTCTGGGCAACGCTAGCGAGGGCGCGGGCGCGCTCCCTGGGGAGGGGAGGGAAAGTCTTGGCTGGTTCAAAGGGGGAGGATTCGCAAACGAAAAACTGCATACCACAACCACACACACAGTTGGCGCTGGAGCCCCCGCCCTGACGCGCGCACGCGCCAGGGGCGGCGCCGGAGGCTGGCTGCGGGGAAACCTGAAGGGGATATGCTTTACATTGTATTCCCAATGCTCCTGTGGCGTTGGGTCCTCGACCTGAAAAGACAACGCCCCACGTCACTCACGCCTCCTCTCCTCCCGTCCCTGCTTCTGCCCTCCGCATGCGCCTGTTTCGGCACAGCCCGCACACGCTTCGTGGGCCCATAGGGCGCTCCACCGAAGGCCCCAATGGGATGGCCCACCCCGCCATATTTCTGCACACCCCTCACACGCTTCGTGGCCCCATAGGGAGATCCTTCGACGGCCAGTGGCAGGTTCCGCATGCACCCCCCCGCTTGTCGGCACATCCTTCATACGTTTCGTGTCCCCTTAGAGAGCTCCACCGAAGGCCCCAGTGGCAGGGTCCACATGCGTCCACCTGCACAATTTCGGCACAACCCGTACACGTTTCGTGCTTCCAGAGGGGGCTCCACCGAAGGCCCCAATGGCAGGATCCACAAGGGGTCCCCCCGCATGATTTCTGCACAACCCTCACACGCTTCGTGGCCCCATAGGGAGCTCCACCGAAGGTTCCAGTGGCATGGTCCCCAATTTCGGCACACCCCTTACACGTTTCGTGCCCCCAGAGGGGGCTGCACCGAAGGCCAGTGGGAGAGACCAGATGCGCCCACCCGAACAATTTCGGCACACCCCTCACACGCTTCGTGGCCCCATAGGGATTTCCACGGAAGGCCCCAGTGGCAGGGTCCACATGCATCCTTTCCCGCCCCATTTCGGCACAACCCGCACACACTTCGTGGGCCCCGTAGGGCGCTCCACCGAAGGTCTCAGTGGCAAAGTCCACATGCGTCCCCCCGCCCCATTTCGGCACAACCCGCACACGGTTCGTGGCCCCATGGGAAACTCCACCGAAGGATCCAGTGGCAGGTTCCACATGCGCCCCCCGACGAGACTTCGCACAGATCCACACACAAATTGAGGGAGGGGATAACTTCCGAAGCCCCCCCCCCTTTCAAAGGTGAGCCTGGGCTTGCCCACCAGCCCCAAAAAAGGGGGGGACGGGGGGTAGCTTCGGAAGCCCCCCCAGCGACCCCGTGCTTCGTAGAGGGAGGGAGAAGGGGTGGTTCAAAGATGGCGTCCTGTGGGATGGGGTCCTAAGGACAGAGTGCTTCAAACGATGTAAATCCACCCTTGGACACCTTCCTATCTTCAGGCCCCCATCCCTCAGGACCCCATCTTAGAACCACCGAGCAGGGGGGGTGAGCTTCCGAAGAACCCCCCCATCAAAAGGGGAGCCCCGGCTCACCCTAGAAGCCTAAAGGGGCAGGGGGAGGGGGGGTCTAGCTTTCGAAGCCCCCCCCCCACCTTTACAGCAGGGCACGGGTGGGTGGCCTCCGAAGAACCCCCCCTTTCACAGGGGGGGCCCTGCTTCCCCAGGGGACGGGGGCAGGTTCGGAAGCCCCCAGAACCCGTTTGGAAGGAAGAGGGGGGGGCAGCTTGCTTGAAGCTGGGGCACCCGTTTTGTTCTTCCCTTCTCCCCGCAACGCGCTCTTTCGGACGCGTTGAAAGGCTTAAAATAAGGAAAGAGGGGCATGAGATCTGGGGAGAGATCACAGGGCCGCCGCCGCCGTCGTCATCACCGTCGCCGTCGTCGTCGTCGTCGCCATCGTCGTCGTCGTCGTCGTCGCGGTGGTGCCAGGCCTGCGCCTGCGTGTTGCGGATGTTCTCCCAACCCCGGTGCGCCCACTTGGGGAACGTGGGCTTGAAGTCCTGGGGGTGGGGCGCGAAAGTCCGTGAGCGGAGGGCGGGCATCTGCAAAGAGGAAAACTCAGCACGCGTTGGCTTCGATATACAGTCGACGCGCTGCCATAAGGAACTCCTAACAAGGAACGGAGGGGCTTTCCTGACCACGGCAACCCTCGGCCACGAATAAGTTCCCCGATCTAGATCTGAGGAACGGCTCAAAAACTCGAGCCACTCATGAGCACAAAGTGGTCGTTAACTCAGCGCCTCGACTGTATGCGGAAAGTGGTTTCGACATGTGGCTTCGATCCGCTGTGCACATTGGGGCGTGGAAGAATGCCAAGGGCTGTCCGGGAGGGCTTCTGCATTCTGATAAAGACGCCCCCCCTACTCCCGTCTCGTTGCATGCATCGCCCCCCCTCCCGAGGCCACGATCCCTCGTAGAAAAAACATGGTTCCGCGCTCCCGAGACCACGATCCTTCGTAAAAAACCATGGATCCGTGTGCCGAGCTTCCAAGACAGCCCATGCAGGCAACCAAGGACACCAAGATGGCCCAAGATGCTCGAAGACGATCCAAAACGGCCCCAAGGAAACCTAATATGGCCTCAAGACGGACCTCCAACAGGGTCCGGAGAAGCCAAAATAAGTGATTTCCCCTGGCTTGTTGAATAAGTCTCGAAGCTCCCACGATGGCCCCAAGACAACCCAAGAGGCCTCCGAGAGGGCCCCAAGATGGCCAAAGTGGTGCTACGATGGCCCAAAGGGCATCCAAGAAGGCCCCAAGACGGCCCAAGAGAGCCTACTGTGGGACCCAAGACAGCCTTGGAAGGCCTTTCGATAACCCAAGACGACCCCACGACGGCCCCCAGACGCCCACCATACAGCCAAGAGGGCTCCAAGACGGCCCAAGTAAGCCCCAAGACGGCGCAAGAGGGCCCCAAGGGACCCCAAATATTGCCTCACAGGAGGCCAAGACAGCCCCAAGACGACCCAAACGAGTTCAGTGAGAGCTCCTCGAATCCGCCACTATGCCTCTGGGCACGGAGTGGGAGTGCACTCCTGTCCTTTGCCAAATCCTCTAAGCTTCAATCCTCACTCCTGAGCAGTCTCTTGGGAACTGATACACCAAATGACCAAATCTACTGGGGCTTCCCGCAAGGCCCATGGGCTCACCCGCGTCTTCTCGCGCAACTTTTCCGGAGCCAAGAGGACCCCAAAACGGGCCAAGAGGGCTCCAAGAGGCCCCTGAAACGGTCCAAGAAGGCCTCCAGGCGCCGAACGATCGGCCCAAGACGCCCAAGACGGCCACAAGACGGTCCAAGAGGCCTCCAAAACGTCCCAAGAGGCCCCCAAAAATCACGAATGTGCCTGTAAGTGTTGTAAATGTTTGTGGATGCTCGCCTTTTCGGCTTCCCGAAGCTCCGAGACCGCCCAGGAGGCCCCCATGATCGCCCCAAGACGGTTCCAGATGCCCCCGAAACGACCCTGAGACGGCCCACGAGAGCCCCAAGACGGCCCAAGACGGCCCAAAGACGGCCCAAGAGGGCCCAAAGACGGCCCCACGCGAGGTCCCAGATGGGGAACCTGAACGGGCACTTCGAACCCTCGGCCCCGAGAGCCCCCAGGAGGAGGCCCCACAAGTGCCCCCAAGAGGCCCCACAGAGGCTCACGGAGGCCCCCAGGAGGCCCTCAGGGACCCCCAAGAGGCCCCAAAACTGCATTCAAGAGGCCCACGAAGGCGCTCGTTCCGAAGAGACCCCAAGGAGCGTCCCAGAGAACTCTGACGCGCAACCCTGGCACGATGGCGGGACGGGCCGAAGGCCATCAGATGTTGAAGACGAAAGAAGTTACATGTGACGACCAACTTCCTCCTTCTCCCCCCTCCTCTTTCTCCTCCCCCTCCCGATGCCACTTTTGCTCAATATGTTTTTTTCCACAGGGGAGCACCTAAATAGCGCTAGCCCGCGGCCAGTCTTCACTCCTCCCCCTGGTCAGCCCCAGGGCGAGCGTCGAGGTGATCCGCCCCGCCTTGACGCGTCTCTCCCAGCCCAGGCATGGTGCCGCTGCCGCCAGCGGCCACTGTGCTTCGCGGCCCGCGCAAGCCCCACTGGAGCTGTGGGCAGTGCGGTCGCGCGGAGAACTGGGTTTCCCGCATCCAGTGCCTTTGCGGCCACCAAAGCCCCGCCCCTCATCGTCTCCCGCGCGCGCCAGAAGCACAAGGATGCCGAAGGAGCGGACGGAGGCGGCCGTCGCGCAGCGTCCAAGAAGCCAACGGGCGGAGGCGGTGGCATCCCGACGGAGCTGTCCGCCTGGATGCAGGCAATCGAGCAGCGCCTGGCGCCGCCCGATGCCGCGTGGCCCAAACCTCGGGGGAAGCCGCCCCCATGGCAGTCGGGCGATGATGCCGGTCATTGCACGGGTAGGAGCGACTCACAGAAGTTGCAGAGCACCAAGATCGGCGAGCGCATCAGCGAGCTGGGGGGGCACCCTCAAGAAGCCCCGTGCAGCCGATGAACGCAACAAGGACCTCCGAGGTCCTATCGCGAAGCAGTTGGAGGAGCTGCGCGCAGAGAAGCGCGCGCTGCTGCCCCCCCCAGGCCCTTCACCGTCGCGCGCAGCAGCATCTGCAGCGCGCGAGGTCCAGCCTGGAAAAGATGGAGACGGAGCTGCTCAAGAAGCAGGACCAGCCCACGCAGCTGGCGAAGGGCGCCGAGCACCGCGAGGAGGCGATCGAAGCGAAGAAGCTGGAGATAGTTGCGCTGGACAAGGCGTTCAGCGAGTCCGCCAGAAGCGTCGCGGGCGCCCCGGGCAGCGTCTCAGCGTCGCCGCGTTTCGCTACTGCTGAGGCCCGGGGCGGTGAGTTTCCTGGCGGTGGCGGCCGCCAGCATGGACCTCGGCGAGGGAACGATGCATGGCCCGAAGTTCGTGGTCTGCCTGGCCATGGTCGTGCTCCTCCTCCTGGGTCGAGGCCCCCACCTACTGCTGAGTGCAGCATCGAGACGTGCAACGCCAGCGGTGGCAAGTCGTCTGTCAAGCGGAGGCCCCCAGTACTACGGCGAGCGTTGTCCTCCTGCAGGACTTCGGGCACGTTGCCGACCGCGTCGAGGCCCTGGGCCCATGGTGCGCTGGCAGAGGGCCCCTGGCGCGCGATGGCGTTTCCAAGCTTGCCCGCAGTCGGCGCGGCCCCTTCGGCGGGCGTTGCGGCCGCAGTTCGCGACAGCCGCGACGCCAGGCCCCCTGCCCTTGGAGTGCACGAGCTGATCACCAGCAGGACTCAGCACGTTGACATCGATCTACCAGGCGCGAATGGTGGGCTTCACGTTTTCCATGTTTCCCTCGGCACGGGCGAGGGAGCAGGCGGGACGTACGTTGCAGGAGCTTGGGCTGGCAGCTGAGGCCCTGGACGCCCCCGCCATCATTGGCGGTAATTGGAACATGCCACCAGCGGAGCTTGAAGCCAGCCTGTTCCCTGCCCACGTCGGTTGATCTACAGTGTGTGCCACCAACGTTGCGTTCAGAGGAGCACAGGCAACTCGGTCACTGATTTCTTCCCCATCAACTCGGCGGCCATGAGGATGCACTCCAGAGTCAGCTGCGATGCCAAGTGGTCCAATCGAGGCCACCGCCCAGTGCAGGTAGCACTGAACGGCGACGCCGAGCATGTCAAGAAGCTGGCGTACACTGTCGCGCCTAGCATGGGCACGCAAGTCATTGTCGGCCAGCAGTTGCCGTCGCCGCCTTGGGCTGTCGCGCCACGTGTTGCCGGGGCGGCAACGACGGCCTGTGCTGATGAAAGCGTCGCCCCCGGCGTTGGACGGCGCATGTTGTCTTCTGTCGGGGGCCACTTTGCAGCGCGAGCTGCTGAGTCCATTGCGGCCGCTGTCGGCCATGCGGACTGCATTGCCTCAGCCTTTGCACGGCCGCTTCGGCCCGGATGGATCGGCCCAGCACGTAGAAGGGGCCCTCGCGTTCGCCACGACTGCCTACCACGGGCTCGGCCTGTCGACGCGGCCCGACCGCTCCGCGCAGAAGGCGCGCGCCCTGGCGCAAGCTGGTTTCAGCGAGGAGACCTGCCGCAAGTTCTCGGACGACATCGAGCCCGACGTCGCGCCCGCATCGAGCGGCGCCTCCACGGAGGACCACCAGAAGTGGAGGGACTGGCGCGCGATGGCTGTTTCGAGGGGCGCGCGGGCCCTCCACCGCGCTACCAAGTTCCGCGGCGTAGCGCAGCCTTCGGCGGTCGGCACCGCTCGCGAGCCGTCTGCCCACGTTCACGACGCAGTGCGGCACGAAGTTGAGATGTCGAAGAAGTTGCGGCCCAGTTCGCGCCCTGCGCCAGGGTGGTTTCCTGGCCGCTCTTCGCTGCAGAGGACGACTGCCAGAGATGTTCGCGCCGTCGCTCAGTTGTTCCCTTCTACTACCACTGCTGCGCCCGATGACTCTCAACCTCGAAATTTCCAGCTGTTGGACGATCAGGCGCTCGAGGTAGTTGTTTTGCTCTTTTCAACGATGGAGTCACTTGGCCCCCCGCCAAGGCAGCTTTGTTGGCTCGTTACCCCCATGCCCCCCAAGACGTCGGGGACGGGCAATCGGCTGGTGATGCTCCATATTGGGCCCCACTGAATCTGGCAGCATCCACGTCGGCCCGTGCACCGCGAGCTGCAGCTGCAGATCGACCGCCCCCACTGGGGCGCGGCGCGAGGCCGCTCATCTGTCGATTGCGCGCGGGCCCAGGCAGCCGCAGGCGAGGCGAACCATCGGCGGGCGCCCCACGGCGCGTTGGCCGCGGCTGACATCAGCAAGTACTACGAACGGATTCTTCTGGACAAGCTACGGGGCAAGTTCCTCAGTTTCCAGACGCCGACGCCCCTCCTCAAGTCCGTGCACAACATGTGGCGTGCAGCACGGGTCTTGCGTCTCAGCGGTCACAATGCGGGCGAGACGCTTCGCGCAGCTCGCGGTCTCCCTGCGGGGGGCGTTTTCTGCGAGGTGGCGGTAAACATTTGGTATGTTCGTGAGTGCGGCAGTTTTCTGGTCAGGCGACCGCGCATGCAAAACGTCAGCTACGTCACTGACAAATCCACCCGCGCGGCACCCACTTCGGCTAACACCACCTCCTCCACGGCGGCGGCGGCCACGGTGGACTTCAGGCGTGCCGTGGGTGAGATTGCGTCAACGACAAGCTCGTGATTGCGGGCGCGAGCCTCTCTCTCGCGCAGAACATCATGAGCGCACTCGGGCCCCCAGCCTCAGTTGCCCGACGCAGCGACGCCCGCGTCGGGGTCGACGCCAGCGAGGGCAGACGCCGCGAGAAGAAGGACGCGCTCAGCAAGCGGGCGAAGCGTCGTCAGCAGATGGCGAAGCGCACGCGGAAGCTCCGGCGCTTCGGCAAGGTTATCACTGGCCACGAGGCCAAGCCCATCGGCGCAGTCATCCGCGCCGGCGCCATGGCCGAAGCCACCTACGGAAGCGATGTCTTCGGCCTCAGCAACGCGGAGTGGCCCCAGCGCCGTCGGGGCGTGGCGCGGGGCCAGCTCCCTGCGCATGGCGGCGCGAGCCTCAACAGCAAAACCGCGCTGCTTGGCGTTGGGGCAGGGGCGTCGGCCATTGCGCCTGCGATCCAGTGGTGCAAGATGCCGCGACAGGCCGAGGGGCGCGACTACCCGCCGGCCACTGGCGCGCGGCTGTCTCGGCCCCGGCGTGGCGCCATGCCCTGTGGGGCCAAGGACTGGCCTTCCAATCGCGGGCAGCTTGCTCGCGCTGCCCCTGCCGCGCGCCGCGCTGGGTGGAGCGCGCTCTCCGCGACAAAAATGAATGAGCCACAGGGGTTCCACCATTGATGTCAATCGCACGCCCCCCAGCATGACGTCTGTCCTCATGTAAGCAGGATCTTAGAGGCGAGCTTTCCCTAGCCTCGCAGGTGGGAGATCCACGAGGATCCAAGGCCTCGTTCGACTTCGTTCGATCCGTCCTCGGGGCTCGGTCGTGCCAGTTCTTTGGTCTCGTGAAGTTCTTGATCGGGGGCTGCTCTTGCCGCGGAGTTTGGCCGCGCCCATGCTGCTGGCTACCTCTGCGGCGGCCTCTGCGCGCGTGGTCAGAGACAGACTTTCAAGCACTGTTTGTACGAGTGCACTCTGTCTGGCGTAGCTGCCGATCGTGCTGGGCCCAAGGTCAGCGCGCTGTTTTGCAGGCTGGCCTCGAGTCAGATGATCAAATCTTTGTGCAAGGAGTCTTTCTGCACGATGAAAAGGAGGTGCCGCCCCCTTCCCGCGAAGACCAGGTGGTCTTCGAGGGCCCCCATGGGGAGGCCTTAGACGTGGAAATAGAAGGCGTTGCATCACCCGTCCAGGGGTCGCGACTTGATGTCGCCCCCAGTGGATAGTGCACGCGACCAAGGTTGCTGGGGCTGGAGCGTACATCCTGGTCAATTGTTATTTTTCCCCCTGCATCAGATGTGCCCGTCACGATAATGCGCCGGCATGTGGCTGGATACCTCCCTCAGACGCCTAGCATCGAAGAGTGTGTTGCTCTCTGCTTGACTGGTCAGATCGCCGACCGCGAGACCCTGGCTGGCAGTGACTGCGTTTCGGCGATCCGCCGGTTCCAGCAGCCTGTGTCCAACCATTTGCGTGCGTCCAACCACGCTGCAGGCATCCTCAAGTTCGGTCGTGGTCTCGAGGGCCACCGTTTCGTCTCAGCGCGTCACGCGAAGGCTCTCGTTCGCAAGAGCAGATCGAAAGTCTCGACGCCGAGGAGCGCCACTGGGCGGAGGCCAACAGGATTGCTGATCATCATGCCATTCTAGCCTCAAGCCTCCACCCCTCCCCTGCGCCAGAGCTTCTGGCGTCGCTCGATCTCGCGAGGAGTATGGCTGTCGATATTGTTGCTCTAGCTGGCGAGGTCCTCCCGTGTTTCCTCGAGGACAGCCCCCAGCGCTGGCGTCGGCCCGCGGTGCTGAGACGCAAAACGAACTCTCGCGGGAAAGGGTGGCACTCGTGGGGATGGAGTGAACTTGGCTGGCAACATGTGTGTTTTGTTTCAATGTTGCGCCCTCATGCCGCAATCTGCCGGTGAATGGTTATCTTGGGACCCCGTCTTTATTGAAGCCCCTCACGGAAGACCCTCTCGGGCACCAGCCGGTTGCCGCGTCGGGATCGCGCCTCGCTCCCCTGCGTGCCGTGCAGTGCAGTTCCGAAAGTGCGGAGGCTAGGCGCGTTTCCCTGCTGTGCGTGAAGTGCGGGCGGTGGAGTCAGGAGAAAGCCATCAAGCTGGCCAGAGCCTGCGCCCCTCCGACACGCACAGGAGAGATGATTTTGTCCCGTTCTCGGCGAGGGTTGGCCCCCAACCCGCGGATCCGTGCGTTGATCGACCGGGCCATCTCCAGCCCTCGCGCCGGGGTGTCGGTCACGTCCGCTCGTGACTTTGTGGCCAGGACCACCGTCGCCAGAGGTGCAAGTTGTGCGGTGGACAGCGTTGTCCCGTATGAAGCTCGATTGGCCCGCCTCCACGAGCGAGTCCGAGCTCGTGGAAGGCCCGTCGGAGGCCCTAGTGGGGCGGCGTGCACCTGTCGCAAATTCTTCTTCGATGGTGCACCCCCCCAACTTGGTATCGGGCTGGCCCCTTCCTCCCTGGACGTACCTGGGAGCCGTCTCATCTCATCCCATCTTTCTCCTCCTCCACCTCCTCCTCCTCCTCATCATCGGCAGCATCAGCATCATCATCAGCAGCAGCCGCGTCAGCAGCAGCAGCATCGGCATCATCATCATCATCATCATCATCATCATCATCATCATCATCATCATCATCATCATCAGCATCATCACCATCATCATCATCATCATCATCATCATCATCATCATGACCACCACCACAACCACCACTACCACCACCATCACCATCATCATCATCATCATCATCGTCAGCATCATCGTCAGCATCATCAGCATCAGCATCAGCATCATCATCCACACAATATGTTTCATCACCATCATCACCATCATCAACACCACCATCACAACCACCACAACCACCACTACCACCACCATCACCACCATCATCATCATCATCATCATCATCATCAGCATCATCATCAAAACCACCGTCATCATCACCATCACCACCATCAGCCTGATCATCGTCATCATCCTCATCATCAACATCAGCCTCACCAGCATCCACCTCGTCGTCATCATCATCAGCTGCATCAGCATCATCACCACCATCAGCAACATCATCGTCGTCATCATCATTATCATCAGCAGCAGCAGGATCAGCATCAACATCATCATCATCACCACCACCATCATCATCATAATCGCCATCATCACCATCATCATCATCATCATCATCACCATCATCATCACCATCAGCATGATCAGCATCAGCATCGCCATAATCAGTATCATCATAATCATCAGCATCATCCTCATCATGGTCAGCATCAGCATCAGCAGCATCCGCGGCAGCAGCAGCAGCATCAGCATCATCATCATCATCGTCATCATCATCAGCATCAGCAGCATCATCCTCAACGCAACCATAATCATCAGCATCATCCTCAGCATCATCATCATCAGCATCATCAGCATCACCACCAACATCATCAGCAGCAGCAGAGGCACCATCCTTATCATCATCATCATCATCGTCAGTATCAGCATCATCATCAGTATCATCAGCATCATCGGCAGCATCATCATCAGCAGCAGCATGGTCATCATATCCATCATCGACATCATCATCAACATCAGCATCATCATCACCATCAAAACCACAATCATCATCACCATCACAACCACCATGAATCTCAGCAACCTCATTATGCTCACAAGATTCCTCGACATTATCACCCTCATCATCAACAACATCGTCCTCATCACCATCATCACCACCACCACCATCCTCTTTTTCCTCCTCGTCGTCAACGTCATCATAAGAAACAGCGGCGCTTGGAGGGGGGGAGGGGCGCCGGCGTGGGCGTGGGCGTGGGCCTGGGCCTGGGCGTGGGCGCGGGAGTGGGCCTGGGCCTGGGCCTGGGCCTTGGCGAGGGTGTGGGCGTGGGCGTGGGCGTGGGCGCGGGCGTGGGCGTGGGCCTGGGCGTGGGCGTGGGCGTGGGCGTGGGCGCGGGCGTGGGCGTGGGCGTTGGCGTGGGCGTGGGCGTGGGCGTGGGCGTGGGCGTGGGCGCGGGCGTGGGCGTTGGCGTGGGCGTGGGGGTGGGCCTTGGCGTGGGCGCGGGTGTGGGCGTGGGCGTACGTGTGGGCGTGGGTGTGGGCGTGGGCGTGGGCGTGGGCGTGGGCGTGGGCGTGGGCGTTGGCGTGGGCGTGGGCGTGGGCGCGGGCGTGGGCGTGGGCGTGGGCGTGGGCGTGGCGTCGGCGCTGCCAGCCCCCGCCGCCGCCGGCGCCGGCGCGCCGAGGCCGGCGCCAGGGGGGTGTTCGGGGAGGGGGGGGGAGGGGCGAGGGGAGTCCCCCTGGGTCTGTTCGACGGCGCCAAGTGTTGGGGGGACCCACCCCCCAGGTCCACACGCGCCACTGCATGTTCTCAAGACAAGCGCCCGTGAAACGCGCCCCCCTCCAGCATCACCATCATCATCCTCATCATCATCAGCATCAGCATCATCATCATCATCATCATCACCACCACCACCACCATCATCATCATCATCATCATCATCATCATCATCATCATCAGCATCATCGTCAGCATCATCAGCATCAGCATCAGCATCAGCATCAGCATCAGCATCAGCATCAGCATCATCATCATCATCATCATCATCATCATCATCATTATCATCATCAGCAGCATCACCATCATCATCGTCGTCATCATCATCAGCAACAGCATCAGCATCAGCATCAGCATCAGCATCATCATCATCGTCATCACCATCATCATCATCATCACCACCACCCTCGCCATCAGAATCAGCATCAGCTCCAGCATCAGCATCGGTATCATCAGCAGCATCATTAGCAGCATCATCATCAGCAGCATCGTCACCATCATCATCAGCATCATAATCAGCATCATTGTCATTATCATCATCATCATCATCATCATCATCATCATCATCATCATCATCATCATCATCATCATCATCAGCATCACCATCATCATTATCACGCCTGGTTCAACCCTAGAAGCACGAGGTGTCACACGTGACGGCCTCCCCTCCCGTGCCCCCTCGAACAGTCGTCACCGAGAGTGCTGGGCTAGCACGGTGGCGCGACTTGCCGCAGGCAGCATGTGGCTTCGGCACGCGGATGGTAGGCAAGGTGCTGCGTCACTGTGCGCAATCCTGGGAGGACGCCGTCCCGTCCACGTGCACCGGGCCCTAGCCACACCAGCCCTGGGCCCGGTATTGGCCTGTGGCCGCCGCAAACCTTAAGAAACGCCGAGAAACGTAGACAGTCTCAGAAGACCGCCGAAGACAACAACGACGACGACGACGACGACGACGACGACGACGACGACGCGGCGACGGCGGCGGCGGCAATTCAAAGACGACAGCGGCAGCGACGACGGCAGACACAAACGATTGCGGCGGCGACGACGCACCGGCGTCCCCCCGAAGTCCGGCAGCTCCGACAGCCCAGGCCACTGCTCCACCGTGGGGGTGCCGAGCTTCTGGAACACCTTAAAAACGGTGTCGATCTCGGAGTCCCCCCCGAAGAGCGGCGAGCTCGTGGCCATCTCTCCTGCGACGCAACGAGGCGGGACGGGGGGCCAGGGCATGATCTTTCGCCATCGAATCGGGAAATCGGATCGAATCGAAATGTCCATCGGATCGGGCTGCATCGGCACGGAGTCGAGATCGAAACGGATCGGCGTGGCTGGGCACGCCCGCCGCCTTCGACGAACTAGCGGAGCTGCCTGCGCAGGCCTCGCCACACTTGCCCGCGGCGCAGACGGCCGCGCCGAGCGCTGCGCCACAGCGGCAACGGGAAACTCACTCACCTCATCCGGACTACGGTTGGGGCTGGAAAGGTAGCGTGCAACGTCGATCTCCGAAAAGCATGCTATCCATGTGAGGCGATTCCCCCCGAGGTGGGGGACAGCGTGCAAGAAGCGGGCCGGCGGCGCCACATGACACGCTATCTTGCCACACCCAAACGTACCTCTGGCGCACACGCCCATGGCCCATGGCTTGGCTGTCCATACCTCACCCCCTCGATCACAGATCGATCGGAGCTCTTGCACAATCGAGCTGGTCGAGTCGGACCCCACCCACGGAGGAGGGTAGGCAGTCGCCAACGGGTAGGTTCCTCGCACCCCCCCCTCCTCCCCGGGCAGGTACCGATTTCATTGGGACTCCACTGTTGTGGCAGAAGTACTGTCCAATCAATACGCGCCGTCTCTGATGTAGACATGGTGCACGGGCTGTCCACGATGTGATCGATTCAACGATACGCGCTGATCTCTGCGCGCGACACTGGGCGAAGCGACGACGCGAGCACAGGGAGGGGGGACACACAGAGGAGGCGAAACCTGGACCCCTCCCAGAGTCGAAGCCGAACAATCTTTGGAGCCGCGTCCAGCCGCGTGGGGACGCGGGGGAACTCTTCCCCCCTCCTCTGCTGGCCAGAACCGGTGCTGGGCCACCTCAGCCCCCCAGCCGCCTCCAACGTGAGGTCCTCTTGGACTGATTCTGCGGTCGGCCGCTGCGTCGGTGGCTTCAGCGCAACCCCTCGAAAGGCAGCAGAGGAGCACAAGCAGAAGCCCACGTCCGACGGACGGTGCGCTCAGGGCACGGCCCGTGCACGGTGAGGCAGAACCTGGTCGAGAAATCCCCGCAAGCACACTCGACGCGTCGCTTCCCCGTCGGCGCAGAGCGTCTAATCAGTGCGGATACCAGACTGGGCTCTGGTGTACTGCACTCCCCCATCAATCCCCCACCTCGTACTCCTACTCCTCCACAATCTGCTCGCTTGCTTCATTACTTCCTCCGTTCCTTAGCTTTCCCCTTGACCTTCCTCCTCAAACATCCGCTCTCATCCCACGGCGGGCCCTGCTCTGCTGTTCTGGGTTCGGCCCGTGGTGGAACAGCTCGCTGGTGAGCGTCTGGTCTGAGAGGTCTTCGAACTCCCGCTGCATGTCGAGCTCTAACGCCTGCAGCAACTTGTCGGCCCTCTTGGAGGGACGGATGCCAATACCCTGCAGCCACCTGCGGCCTCGCCTGCGCCATATCTTGTAATCGGGCCTGCCCATCCCCTTCAGCGGGCCGGAAAGGTCCGGCTTGTACCTCGAGGAAGAATACCACCAGGACTGTTGCCAGCGCTGGCCGGCCCAGTCAGGGGATCCCCATTGAGTACTGCCGTCCTTGGGAGTGTCGCACATCCACCATGAACCATGATCTGCGTCCTGATTCGAGTCGCTCTGAGTCCAGCCGGGCGGGCTCCCCCGCGAGCCTGCGCCGTCCCATGCCGCGCTCAAACTCAAACGGGACTTCTGCCACAGATCAGACGTCTCCCAAGGATCTTCTGGCTGGCTGGTGTTCGGAACTCGTATTTGCCAGCCTGCACCTTCTGATACTTCGCGCGAGGCCCCTACTGCTGCCGACGCTCCTCTGACTGCATCAGCCACGAGCTGAATAAACTCCTTCTTCTGGGCTTCGGTAAAGCCTAACTCCTGAGCCTCCCCTGAGGCCGCAACGTCAACCTCGTCACGAGAATATCCCTAGTTTCCTGCTGACGCCTGCTCGTCTTCAGCTTCACCCGCCATGTGGAAGCTGCGGCCCATGGATGCACCAGAGGCCCCGCTACCAACTGCGAGATCAAAACTGACAAGCAAGGCATCAAACAGGGAGAGGGCAGACCTGTTGCTCCGTAGCGAGACTAACATGTCCTACACTATGAGGGTGCCCCTACGCCGAACAGTTATGGACGAAAACACAAGGGGCACCTGAACAACATGGTGTGCACACAAGCATATGTTTGGACTTGACCCACTGAGCTTACATTCAAATATTTCTCTCTCTGCTGATCCTCCTCCTCCCCCTTCCCGTGAACGGGGGAAGGAGGAGGGGGAGAGGAAGCCTCACTCAGACCCCTCCACACCGCTTCCCCCCTCCCATTTCATCGTCACGCTTCCAGCGCCATCCGCACCGGCCCCCGTGCAAGCCCGGGCCCCTCCTATGACGCAGCCGATGCTCCACAAGTCAACGGGGACGCTGTAGAGCGGAGAGCCCTGGCGGGCAAGCTGGGCGTCATCGTCGTGGTCGTCGTCGGCAGCGGCGTCGCTCTCGTCGCCGTCCCCGTCGCCGTCGCCGTCGCTGTTGGCGGCGAGGACGTCGTCTGTGACGTCGCCCTCGTCGGCGTCGTCCTCCTCCTTATCCTCCTCCTCTCCCTTCTTTTCCTCCTCCTCCTCATCATCATCATCAGCAGCATCATCAGCAGCATCATCAGCATCGTCATCGGCATCAACATGATGGCCACTGCCGTACCAAATACCAGCCAACCAAAAGCGGCCCATACCGTACCGCGCCAACTGGCCTCGGCCACCGTACCGGACGATCCCGTACCCGCCGCGGACACCGTGTACCGGACGATACCGTACCGGCCACGGCCATCGTACCGGACGATACCGCACTAGCCGCGTCTACCGCCCTCCTCCTCCACCCTCCATATCCTCCTCCTCCTCCTCTTCCTCTGCCCTCCTCTTCCTCCTCTGCTCTCCTCCTCCTACTCCTCCTCACCCCTCCTCCTCATCCGCCCTCCTCCTCCGCCCGTCTCCTCCTCCTCCTCCTCCTCCGCCCTCCTCCTCCCTCCTCCTCCGGCTTCCTCCTCCTCCGCATCCTCCTCCGCACTCCTCCTCCGCACTCCTCCTCCGCCCTCCTCCTCCTCCTCCTCCTCCTCCGCCTCCTCCGCCTCCTCCACCTCCTACGCCTCCTCCTCTGCCTCATCCGCCTCCTCCGCCTCCTCCGCGTCCTCATCGTCCTTCTTATTGTTATTATTATCATTTGTATTATTCTTATTATTATTATTATTATTATTATTATTATTATTATTCTTATTCTGATTATTCTTCTTCTGCTTCTTATTATTATTCTTATTATCATTATTACTATTATTATTAATATTAGTATTATTAGTATTATTATTGTTTGTATTATTATTATTCTTATTATTATTCTTCTTATTATTATTATTCTTCTTATTATTATTAATAGTATTATTCTTCTTATTATTATTCTTATTATTATTATTCTTATTATTCTTATTATTATTATTCTTATTCTTCTTCTTAATATTATTATTATTATTATTATTCTTATTAGTATTATCATTCTTAATATTATTAGTATCATTATTATTAGTATTAGTATTATGACTTTGTCTTCTTATTATTCTTATTAATAGTGTTAGTATTATTAGTATTATCATTATTATTATTAGTAGTAGTATTATTATTACTATTATTAGTATTATTGTTATTATTAATAATATTATTATTCGTCTTCTTCTTATTATTCTTATTATTTGTACGATTATGATTATTATTAGTATTGCTACTAATATTCGTATACGTATTATTAGTATTCTTATTACTAGTACTCTTATTATTATTAGTATTATCATTCTTCTTATTATTATTACTAATAATATCATTATGTTTAGAATTCTTCTTATTAGTATTATTATTAGTAGTAGTATTATTGTTATTTATATTATCATTATGATTCGTATGCTTCTTCTTCTCCTCCTCCTCCTCCTCGTCCTCTTTCTCCTCCTCCTCCTCCTCATCCTCATTCTCATCCTGCTCGATCCTGCTTGGGCTACACGGTACGGTATTGTCCGGCACGGTAGACGCGGCTGGTGCTGGGTGGTACTGGGGGTGGTCCTGGAGGGTACTGGGGGGTACTGGGGGGTACTCGGGTGTACTGGGGATTGAGGGGTACTGGGTGGTACCGGGGGGTATCGGTGGCCCTGCACTCCTCCTCCTCCTCCTCCTCCTCCTCCTCCTCCTCCTCCGACTCCGCCTTCTCCTCCTCCTCCTCGGACGTGCCTCCGTTCCACTTCGTCCTTCCACGTCCTGCCTCCGTACCGTACCAGTGCCGGCCGTGGTCCTGGTGCCGTACCAGTACCGCGCGGTCCCAGCACTGCACCGTGCCTGTGTCACGGAGTCCCTCTACCGTACCGACGACACAGGATACGGCGGCAATTCGCCGGCCCAACGGGCCAGAGGCGTGCTAAGATCTCCGGCGGCAACTGGTTAATAATCTTTTAGTTCGCGCGCGCGGGGCGGTCCCTGGGGGCCCCCGGACGAAAAGTACCCCGAGCAGGTCCCGGCCAAGTGGGGCCCAGAGATGGTTTTCCCTCTCGGCGCTGCCTTCCAGGCTTTCTAGAGCGCCCCAGGAACGCCCCAAAAGAGCCCCGAGACGCGCCCGAAACCGTCCGAAAGGCCCTGGGTCGCCGCAAGATCGTTCCAAGACGCCCAAGATGGCCTCCAGACGGCCCAAGCAGCCGCCAAGAAGCCCCAAGAAAGCCTCAAGAGGCCGCCGAAGAGAGTCTCAACAACCAATCATCGTCTCATCTCCCTGCGAAAACGTACATGTTTCGGATTTGCGACCCTTGGGGGTTCAGAGCGTCCAATACTGCCCAAGAGACCCCCAAGCTCGCCCCAAGACGGCCCAACAGGCCCCCAAGATGGGCCGAATAGGGTCCTAAGACGGCCCAAGAGGCGCCCAGGACAGCCCAAGACGGCCCCGAGAGGGGACCAGGAGGCGCCCAAAACGGCCCAAGGGGCCCCCAAGACGGCCCAGGAGGCGCCCAAGAAGGGGAACGCGATGCGAAAATCCGAGCCTTCAGCCCCACAAAGGGCCCAAGAGGCCCCCAAGAGCACCCCTGGAGGCCCCCAAGAGGCCCAAAAACTGCGCTCCAGACGCTCCCGAGAATCCTCCCGCGAGACCCCATCAGCCATCCGAGTGACCTCAGACCCACACAACCACGCAGCCCACGAAGCATCCCACAAAAGCTTCTTGACGATGACCTTCATCGACTCCAATCGTGCCACGACACGCCATCCAGAGACCCTCCCCCTCCCCCCCCCTCCCCCTCCTCCTCCTCCTCCTCCTCCTCCTCCTCCTCCTCCTCCTCCTCCTCCTCCTCCTCCTCCTCCTCCTCCTCCTCCTCCTCCTCCTCCTCTTGTTCCCTACATGAGCCGGCGGAATGAGCGAAACGATTAAATAACCCGGCACATCTAACTGCACTGGTACCGTGTGCTCCTGATACCCTACCGTACCGTGACATACGTAGCCATGAGGAATCAGCATCAGCATCATCATCGTCATCGTCATCATCGCCATGATCATGATCATCATCATTATCGTCATCATCCTCCTCATCATCAGCAGCAGCAGTAGCAGCAGCACCACCATCACAATCACACTCACCACCATCATTATCATCATCATCATCATCATCATCATCATCATCATCATCATCATCATCATCATCATCATCATCATTATCATCATCCTCATCATCGTCATCATTATCATAGTCGTCGACGACCTCGTCATCATCATCAGCATCATCATCATCAGCAGCATGCCCATCATCATCATCATCATCATCATCAGCATCAGCATCATCATTAGCATCATCATCGTAGTCGTCATCACCATCGTCATTTCACCACCACCACCACCATCATCACCACCACACACACACACACAACCACCACCACCATCATCATCCTCCTCCTCAACATCATCAGCAGCATCATCGGCATAAGCATACTCCTCATCATCATCGTCATCACCACCATCACCATCAACCTTACCACCACCACCATCACAATCATCGTCATACGTACCATCACCATCATCACCATCATCATCGTCATCATCATCATCATCAGCATCTTCTTCATATCGTCACCATCACCATCACCATCATCATCGTCATCATCAGCATTCATCATCAACATCAACAACATCATCAGCATCATCATCCTACTCACCTTCAACATCATCATCAGCAGCAGCATCGACATCCTCAACGTCGTCGTTATCATAATCAGCATCAGCAGCATCATCACAGCGTCAGCATTGTCGTCGTCGGCAGCAGCAGGGCATCGTCATCATCATCATCATCATCATCATCATCATCATCATCATCACAATCAGCATCATCATCGTCATCATCATCAGCATCATCAGCGTCGTCATCATCAGTATCGATCGTCATCATCATCATCATCATCATCATCATCATCATCATCATCATCATCATCATGGTCATCGCCATCACCATCAACAGCAGCAGCATCACCATCAGTATCGTCATCATCATCGCCGTCATCATCATCAGCATCATCAGCAGAAACAGTTTCATCATCGGCGGCGGCATCATCGCATCCATCGTCGTCCTCATCATCATCAGCCAGATCATTAACTTTCGTGTTAGCCTTCCCGTATTCGCGATGTGTTCATCTTCCCACTCACCCCAAGAAGAAGCAGCAGGAGGGAGAGGAGGTGGGAGCGGAGGATGACGAGGAGGAAAAGGAGGCGGAGGCGGAGGAGGAGAGGAAGAGGTCACCGAGGGGATAGGCCGAGGAGGAGGTGAACGAGGGGAGAAGCAGCAGCAGCAGGAGGAGGAGGCGGAGGGGGACGACGCACGACGGTACAGCTCCCCTCCCCGCGCGCGCGAAGTCCAGGAGTATCTCCAGAGGGCGATACCACACGGTCACGACCTCGTGGGTATACCTGTCGGGAAGGCGGGATGCAGCACGCCGAAGCAAAAAAGGCGGGAAACACTCTGCCGCATCCATGCGCCGTCTCCTCCTCCTCCTCCTCCTCCTCCTCCTCCTCCTCCTCCTCCTCCTCCTCCTCCTCCTCCTCCTCCTCCTAGTCTACTGTTCCACCTGCTCCTCCTCCTCTTCGTTCACCGCCTCCCCCCGCTCATCATCATCCTCCCCGTACACGGCCTTCACATTATCATCGTCAGCATTATGACCACCATCATCACAACAACCTTAACACCAGCGTAGGCTTTATCGGCATCGTCACCCTCGTCGTCATCATCATCAGCAGCACCACCACCATCATCATCATCCTCCTTCTCCTCCTCCTACTCCTCATCATCATCATCGTCATCATCATCGTCGTCGTTGGTACCATCATAATCGTCATGATGATGGTGATCATCATGATCAAAAGAAATACCATCATCAGCAGCATCATCACCATCAGCATCATCATCATCATCATCATCATCATCATCATCTGCATCATCACGAACATAATAAGGACCATCACCACCACCACCATACGCAGGAGCATCATCAACATGATCGTCGTCGTCATCATCACAATCAACATCATCAGCAACAGCAGCCGCATCGACACAAACACCCTCAGCAGCATCATCATCATCACAAGCATCATCAACATCACAATCATGCCCCTCACCACCACCACCACCACCACCACCACCACCACTCCCCAGCACCATCATCGCCATCAGCATCAGCATACGAATGATTCGCTGGGCCAACGGGCCAGAGGCGTGCGAAGATCTCCGGCAACTGGTTAACAATATTTCTAGTTCGCGCGCGCGGGGCGGCCCCGGAGGGTCCCCGGACGAAAACTACCCCGGCAAGGTCCCGGCAAAGTCCCGGGCGGTCCGACTCAGAGATGGTTTTCCTCCTGGGCGCGGCCTCTCAGGCCCCCAGAGCGCGCCAAAAGGGCCCCAAGAGGCCCCCAAGACTCACCCGATCCACGAGACTATCGAGCCTGAGTTGCTGCGGATAGTCGGACGTCACGACGAAACCCGTTTGTCCTATCCACCTGAACCCCACTGCTCGCGCCGGACTAGCTCGGTTCCACTCGTCGCTCTCGCGCCGTTCATCCCCCGAGAGGCTCAGCAGTCGAATGGGGCGCATAGGGCCCAGAGAACTCAGAGGCACTGGTAAATCGCGAAGGCTCCAAAGGGAGCGGGGCTGAGCATGGGGCGCCACATGAACGCGTCTTGAAACATTGCCCAGAAGAACCCAAGTATCAGATCGAACTTTCTCTCCACTCTGCACCTCTCCCCCTAGTCGTTTCGCACTGTCTGCTGAGCGGGGCCGCGAGGGGGGGGGCCGTTCGGGGGCACGGTCGAAAGGGGGCGACTGAGTTGTGGAAGGAGAGGGGGGGGGCTCGAAACATCTTGCGCACCTACTGCGCCGAGCAACTTACCTGCGCGTCTAAGGGCCCCGAAGCCTCTGGAGGCCCCCGTCGAAGCCTGGACCTCGAGGGGAGAGGGGGCATGGGGGGGCGGGCACCGCGCGCACTTCCGTCGAGCTCGCCCTAGAAGAGCCAGGGTTCAGATGAGGACACCCCCCCAAGAGGCTCTCTGGGCGCTCTAAACAATCCAAAAGAGCCATCTCGTTCGCATCAATGAATAGGCGGCCCGAAGGAAGGCGGACCAGACCTGGGGGGCATCTCAGCTCCATAAAAAGACAGCGCCCGCAGGAAGATCTACGCGGGCGCCCCGGAAGTCTCGGAGAGAGATCGACGTCAGGCCGGGGATGTCGGCGCCCATGACGTCGATCTCTAGCGCCCCCATCGGCTGCTAGATCCTCAACGGCACCAGCACGCTGCGCAGTATCTTCGCCGCGCCGCCGGCGCCCATCGCCGTCTCGCGCCTCGGCGGAATCCCCGCTACTCGGCGCGCCCTCCCTCGCAGATCGAGCCCCCACCTCTTCGTCGCCAGCTCCCCCACCAGGCTGGGCCAGGCCCTGGCCCGCGGCCGCGACGACCACCGCGGCGCCGGGCGGCGCCTGGAGTCGCCGGGCCGCCAACTGCATCGGGACATCCTCGAGCGGGAGGCTGCCCTGCTTGGCTCCCCGAACCACGCAGCGAGCCCGGTCAATCCACTCCCCCGTCTGCCCGACGGCGCCGGACGTCGCGCCCGCCTGCGCTAGAGAAGACACGCGCCGAAGGCCCCGGTCGCGATCCTGGTGGGTTCGGGCATTCATCTCCGCAGTGGCCCTGCTGTTTGCACTTCCTGCACCTCGCTGATGATCTCGGCCGCGGCAAGACGGGCCGTGCGCCCCCGCGCAGAACCCTCCCGACTGCGATGTTCGCCGTCGTCCTTGCCACCTACCCTTGCCCACGGGGCTCCTGGGACGGGAGGGGGGCTCTGGAAATACTTTCTGTCCACCTACAGCTGTCTCTTGCACTCTCGATTACAATTCCACGTCTCGCGGTGCTCGCTCTGACGAGGGATCTTCTGACCCAGGTCAACACAGACCTGGGTCAGCAGGAAACCAAAAAACTGCAACGCAAGAAACAAAACTGCAACGCAGGGCTTCGCTAACCCGGGGCAGCCAATATACGCGGTCGCCTCGCGGCCACGAGCGGCTCGCTAACCCGGGTCAGCCAGAGGGGGTCTTCGCAAGATCTTTCAGGACCCAGCACCCTGGCTGACCCCCGTTTGCATTGACCCCCGTCTCAAGGCTCCCGATCTGAATCTGAGCGAGCACCTCCGGCGCCTCGTCCTCATCCAGGCCCATGTTCTCGATGGCACTCACGAGCGTCATCTCGCCCTCTGAATTCATCGAGCTGACATCATCGCACTCCACAAGGATGTCCTCCACGCTCTGGCAGTCCTCCCTCGCGCGCTCTGGCGCGTGCTCTGTGGAGGCGTCCACCGCGAGCGTGGTCTTCACCCTCGTGGAGCTCAGGGTCTCTTTCTTCGTCGCGTCTGGATCCCGCAAGGTTCTCAAAGTCGCGTCGCAGGTCTTCGCGCCTCGAGTCAAAGACGTCACTAATTCGGCTCCCTGGGCGTCAAAGACCGCGCCCTCTTTCAAGAACATTCTCTTCCACGTGTCTGGCAAGGGTAATCATTCCTCGCCGTGCTACACGATCAAACTGTACGTCCATGCACGCCGCGCAGTCGCACAAGGACTCGGATGATTGCCGATGGAACTGGAGTAGACTCTCTCGGGCTGCCTTCCGCCGCTCGTCGCCCTGGCGCTCGCCGGACAAAATGTCTAAGTGTGCCAAGATGGCGGCGACTCCTTCGTCGCTCTCTAGAACCGTGTCGGACAGCTGCTCGAGCTTCCTCTGCAGCTCCACTGGCAACTGCTTCATCACCCTGTCAGCGCGCTCCCCGACGGCAACGTCGGTGGCGTTCAACCATATCTGAACCCTTCTGTTCCAAATCTTGTAGTCCGACCACAACATCCACGCCTCCGGGTCCGCGTAGTCGCCCTTGCGGTCACGGTCGCGGTCTCCGGACCACCTGCTGCTGAACTCCCAGTGACTGCTAGACCATCCCTGAGTATTCCACCAGCTCTCCTCTCTATTCCAGTCGGCGTCCTTCCAATTATGCTCGCTCTCGCGGCCGTCCTCTGGGGCGCCGCTCTCTCGCCGACCTCGAGACCAGGGATCCTCTCGCTGCCATGGGTCGTCGTCGCGATCCTTTCCAACCGCTGCGGTGCCCTGGCCCGTGACTCTGGCGCTCCGAGACTCGCAGGCGTCAGTACCCTGCTGGTCGGACTCCGCGGAGACCCACCCCTTCCAGCTGCCATCTGCCATCTGCCATCTCGCCGGTCGCCGTACATGCGGCTCCGCGTGGCGCCAGCCCTCTCACTGAACACCTCCTTCACGACGCCCCGCAGCTTCCGCATCGAAATGGTACGGGCATCCCCCGTCTGGCTGCTGCCCTCGACCGGTGCCGGCCCCTTCTCCTGACCAGGCGCGTCGTCGGCCTCCTCGACGCCCGTCCCGTCCCTCTCGCCATCACGTGCTCCCTGGGAAGCACGGGAGGGCGCAGCCACGGATTGGAGCTGGCCGCCGCTACCGTCCGCAGGCGGCCGACCGGCTCCGCTGCCACCGTGAGACGAACCCTTCACAGAGCATACATTCGGGGCGTTGACCTGAGGAACCCTAAATAAGGAACGAGGCCGCTTTATTCCATAAGTTAAAGTTCGATTTACCATTGAAAACCTAAGGAAAACCCATGGCAAACTGTAAAACAATCAAGGAACACCGAGCCCCTCCCCAACGAACAGGGTTCCTTCTTCAGCGCCCCGACTGTACACTGATGGTGAGGAACGATATGCTTTCATTCTCGGGAGGACCACACAACTACAATCTCTGGTCAGCTTGAGCCACAGTGGTTACGGACCGCTCTGGTCAAACTCATGCAACAGAACAGATTGGTGCATGCAAAGATGTTAAGCTCATCGGGCCGCTCCAGAAATTGACAGGATAACGCTTCTGGGTGCTGGATGCGTTATCGTTTCACCAGAAGGGGATCTGAGTTGCTTCATGAGGTTGGCACCGTCACTGGCATCGTCATCATCAGCAGCAGCAGCGTCAACAGCGTCCGCATCATCCGCACCATCGTCGCCGCCGTCATCCTCATCAGCCGCAGCAGCAACCTCATCCTCCTCATCCGCATCATCGTCGTCGCCGTCATAGTCCTCATCGCCGTCACCACCACCACCACCACCACCACCACCCCTCTCTCGGCCCCCCTGCGCCCCTCGGCCCTCCTGCGCCCCTCGGCCCTCCTCGGCCCACCTGCGCCCCTCGGCCCTCCTGCGCCCCTCGGCCCTCCTGCGCCCCTCCTCTCTCTGGGCACCCCTCGGCCCTCCCGCGCCCCTCCCGTGCCCTCCTGCGGCCGCCCCCCGCCGCCGCCCTCCGCGCTCCGCTGCCCGGGCTGCCGACAGCCGCCGAGGCCGGCCCGAGCCCGACCGAAGCACGCCCGACGGCCGACGACGACAGGTCGCCGTCGTCGTCGTCGTCGTCGTCGTCGTCGTCGTCGTCGTCGTCGTCGTCGTCGCGTCGTCGTCGCCTCCCCGCCCAGAGGCCCGACGGCCGAACGGAGGGCCGGCCGAGGGCGGGCCGAAGGGCGGCCCGGAGGCCCGCCGAGGGCCGCCGACGGCCGACCGGAAGGGCCGCCGAGGGGCCCGCCGAGGGGCCGCCGAGGGGCCGCCCGGAGGAGGCGGCGCCGCGGCGCCTCGGGAAAGGGGAGGTGTTCCTGTGCCGCCGAAGGAGAAAGACGACCTGAGCAAAAGCACGACGACGACGACGACGACGACGACGACGACGACGACGAGGCGCTGACACGCGCATGCGGGCAGCGCCTCCTGCGAAGGACGGCGGAGGGGCAGGAGCCCCTCGTGGGCGCACCCTGCCGGCCCAGCACAGCGGGCAGGAAAGAGCACAGGGAAGGGTCGGGTACCTGCAGAATAAGGACGCGCGATGAGGATGCAAGGCCCGCGGAAGGCCAGACCGACACTCTGCGAGCGAGGCGGCCAACGATAGCGGCCAAGCTTAGGCCGAAGGGGACGGATGCAATGGTGACCCAAAATTGCTCATCCTTACAGTACGGGTTGACGTCAATTCCCGCCCCGCCGAAGGTGGCGCCTCGGGACGGGGATGCTGTACGTCCGGGCCAGGCCGAAGTCGGCGAGCTTCAGCCGGATCCTTCGGGGAGCCCTGCTGGAGAGCGCCGACAGCCACCACGACGACGAAGACGACGACGAGGACGAGGACGAGGAGAAAAGTGGTCGGGTGTTGCTAGAAAGATCCCTGGCCCAAGGAGTCCCCAGGAATCCCCCCGAGGAGGCCCAGATGGCCTTCGGAGCAGCCCTCACGAGGCCGAGGGGGCCGCAGGGGCTCCAAAAAGATGTGACGAGCTAGGGGCACTTGGGCCAGGACCACTTCCAGCGACTCCCGAAATGGGAGAGAGGACGGGAGGAGGCAAGGTAGGAGGTGAGGGAGGCGAGGACAGAGGAAAGAAGGGAAGAAGTGGGGACGAGCAGAAGGACAAGTCAGAGGGGGGAGAAAGGCAGACGGCAGAAGAGAAAAAGGTAGAGGAGGGGACGGGGAAGGGTGAGGAGGGAGAGGCACGGCTTGCTTCGGCTTGCATGCAGGCTCCTGAGCTCCCGAGCCAAAGTGTGCCCAGGTCGGCTCGAGTCTCACGTGGCGGGCGGGCCCCTGGCCCCAGGGAACAGCCTTCCAAAGACAGCCGCGCTGGCAAAAGAGAGCGAAGGTGTCGGCTTCCCACAACTCCACGGGCGGAAGCGCCTTGGGCGCCCCAACGCCGCGGAGCTCAATGAAACACGTGAAACAACACAAAGCTGCTCCAACACGGTGCCTTTACCGGTACACGTTCAGGTTCTAGAAATCATCGACGGACGGCTCGCATTGCTGCTTGCACCCACGGCGTGCGGCACTGCAACTATCCTTCGTGCGTGGTACCAGACCCTGGCGGAGCAGAGACTGAGGAGGCGGAGAATAGGCTGAGAAAGGAGGACAGGGCAGGATCCATGAGCGACCGGGAACAGAGAGGAGGAGGAGGAGGAGGAGGAGGAGGAGGAGGAGGAGGAGGAGGAGGAGGAGGAGGAGTTACGGGCTAGGGCAGGAGAGTGAGGAGGAAGGAGGGGGGGACAACGACAACGAGGCGAAAGAGGAAGAGAAGGTAGAAGGCCGGAGAGGAGAGGGAATGGAGGGAGGACGACGACACCGAGGACGCCGACGAGGAGGGATGAGATCCGCATCCTCCACACAGACGACGCCGATGCAGACTTCAACGACGTCGACGATGTCGACGACGCCGCCGACGCCGACGACGGCGACGACCAAGACGCCGCCGACGACGACGACGACGATGCCGCCGACGACGACGATGCCGACGACGACGACGACGACGACGACGACGACGATGACGCGACGCCGACGCCGCCGCCGACGACGACGAGGACGACGATGCCGACGCCGACGCCGACGACGACGACGACGACGACGACGACGACGACGACGACGACGACGAGGGCGAGCGACGAGGGCGAGCGGTAACAGGACGGCCGAGCAGGCAGCGGCGGCGGCGGCGGGACAGCCGCGGGCTCCTGCCGCCCTCCGCGCGGTGGTCGATCAGCAGGTTCTGCGGCTTGATGTCCTGCGCGGCGCGCGGACGACGCCGACGACGACGCCGACGATGCCGCCGACGACGCCGCCAACGACGCTGGTGACGCCCGCTCTGACGACGACGACGCCGACGCCGACGCCGACGCCGACGCCAACGACGTCTAAAACGCCCAAGCCGACGCCCACGCCGACGGCAGCGACGGCGACGACGCCCACGCCGACGATGCCCACGGCGACGAAGGCGGCCACACAATGGCAGCGACGCAAGCACGCGCGCGCGCGAGCGTGCCGTCAACGAGACCGCCCGCGCGCGAGGCACCTTGCGAAAAGCCGCGAGAGCGGGCACCTGGCGTCTCCTCGTCCTCACTCGCATGCCGATTCCGTCGTCTCCCCCCTCCTCATATTCCTTCTCCTCCGCCGCCTCCTCCTCCGCCTCCTCTTCGTCCTCCTCCTCCGCCTCTTCTTCCTCCTCCAACTCCTCCTCCTCCCAATTATCATCATCATCATCATCATCATCATCATCATCATCATCATCATCATCATCATCATCATCATCATCATCATCGTCATCATCATCATCATCACCACCACCACCACCACCATCATCATCATCATCATCATCATCATCATCATAAGCAGCAGCAGCATCATCATCATCGTCGTCATCATCGTCAGCACCATCATCAGCAGCATCAACATCACCATCATCATTATCAGTATCAGTAGCATCACCATCATCATTAGCATCATGAGCCTGATCATCACCATCATCAGCATCATCGTCGTCATCATCATCCTCAGCAGCGCACCAACCGCATCAGCATCAGCATCACCATCAGCATCATCAACCCCGTCATACCAAGCATCATCATCATCATCATCATCATCGTCGTCATCATCATCAGCAACTTCAACATCAACATCATCAACAGCAGCATCACCCTCAACATCACCATCATCACCATCACCATCCTAAGTAGCGTCATCATCAGCACCATCATCATCAGCACCATGATCATCATCCTCATCATCAACAACAGCATCACCATCATCATCGTCATCATCATCATAATCATCATCAGCATCATCATCACCAGCTGCATCATCCGAAGTCATCATCACCACCATCAGCAGCACCATCGCCATCGACGTCATCATCATTATCAGCATCATCAGCAGCAGCATCATCACCACCAGCATCAGCATCATCGGCATCATCAGCGTCAGCAGTATCATCATCAGCAGCATCGTCATCATCACCACCACGACCACCACCTCATGAATCATCGTTATCATGATCATCAGCATCATCAGCAGCATCAATATCATCATGCTCATCAACCTAATCGTTACCGTCGTCGTCATCCTTATAGTCATCGTCATCGTCCTCACCACCATCATCATCATCATCATCATCATCATCATCATCGTCCTCATCGTCCTAACCGTCCGAATCGTCCACATCATCCTCATCGTCATCATCATCATCGGCATCCGCATCATCATCCTCATCATCATCCTCATCATCATCCTCATCCCATCCTCATCCTCATCCCATCCTCATCCTCATCCCATCCCGATCCTCATCCTTATCCCATTATCACCATTCTCCTCATGGTCATTCTGGCGCAAAGGCGCCGACAGGGTTGGGCGGTCCCGGTGGATGATGCGGTTGCTATGGCAGAACTCTATGCCTCGGCAAAGCTGGAGGGAAAGGTTCTTCACCGCCTCGCGCCGCCCAGAAAGGGGAAGGGAGGAAGGAGGAAGGCGAAGGAAGAGGAGTGACAAGTGAGGAGTGAGGGGGGACACGGGGGAAGAGACGTGAAGGAGGAATCCGCCGACCCCGTCAGCGTGTGGAAGAGGCTCTTCCAATCGTCGCTGTTTCATTCGTCGTCTCCTCGTCGTCGTCTTCGTCGCCGTCGCCGTTCAAGCTTTCTCCTGAGCCTGCTTCTACACTACGCCAGCCGTTGCCTCTCTTACCCTGGGCATTTCTCTTCAAGCGTGCTAGCCCAAAAGACAATAACAAACGTCGGAATTCATTCGAAGGGAAGTCCCTTACCTTGATCCCTTCCCCGCGAGGGGGGGGGTCCCCGGGGAGACCCGGGGGGGGTCCCAGGGGGGTCCTGGGTCAGAGTGCCCCCTCACCCCAGGGGGTCCCAAAACCCAAAACCCCCTAAGACGAACCAAGACTGCTCCAAGAGGCCCCCAAGACGGTTCATGAGGACCCCGAATCGCCGAACTATCGGTCCGAGATACCATCGTTGCCTCCAGACGGCCGCAGTGGTTTCCGAGACGCCCCAAGAGGCCTCCAAGAGCACTCCCAAGAGGGCCCCAAAAGGCAAAAATGATGGATTCCCTTCTGATGTTTGATAGAGTTTCGGATTCTCGGCTTTCGGCTTCCCGACACTCCAAGACGGCCCCAGAGGCCCCCAGGATCGCCCCAAGGAAGCCTAGAGGCCTCCGAGAGGGCCCCAACCAGCGCCAAGGGGGGGGGGGGGGGGGGTCCGGAACCCCCTCCCCCTTCAATGGGGGGGGGGGGAGGGGGGGGGCGGACCCCCCCCCCTTAAGGGGGAGAGGGGGGGGGGGGTCGAAAATCTCACCCCCCCTTGGAAGGGGGGGAGGGGGGGGGGTTCTGCGAGCACACAGCCCCTTTTGTGTATTCAGGGAGATCAACTGGCGCGCTTTCCGAATCGCCATCATCAGCAGCATCAACATCACACATCATCATAAGCAGTAGCATCACCACCGTCAACATGCAAGTCGGCATCTTTATCATCATCATCATCATCATCATCATCATCATCATCATCATCATCATCATCATCATCATCATCATCATCATCATCATCATCATCATCAGCGTCATCATGATCATCATCAATATCATAAACAACATCGTCAGCGTAGTCGCAAGTGTCACCACCCGCAAAATCATCAACATCAGCATCAGCAGCATCAACATCGCCATCATCATCCTGGTCATGAGCATCACCATCATCATCAGCAACATCAGCATCATCGTCAGCATCATCACCATGATCGTCGTGTTCATGCGCATCAGCATCATCAACATAATCAGTATCAGCATGGTGATCATCATCACCGTGGTCAGCATCAACATCATCAACATCAACATCATCATCCGCATCGTCAGCAACATGATCGTCGTCATCATGTTAGTCGCCTTCATCATCATGACACTATGCCCGTCCTCATTGTCATCATTATGAACATCAACGTCATCCGCATCATCATAATCATCATCAGCATCGTCATCGTCATCATCATCATCATCATCATCATCATCACCATCACCACCATCATCATCAGCATCAGCATCATCATCGTCGTCATCATCACCATGAGCAGCATCATGATTATCATCAGTTTCATCCTCAGTACCATCATCATCATCAGCATCGTCATCATCATCATCATCATCATCATCATCATCATCACAATCATGATCATCATCATCATAATCGTCATCATCATCGCCAACTTCAAACAATCTCAATCACCAAGAAGATCACCAGCACCATCACTGCCAGCATCAGCGTCATCATCATCATCATCATCATTATCATCATCATCATCATCACTATGCTCCCCATCATCAGAATTTGCATCACCATTGGCATCAGCAACAGCAGCAGCAGAATCGTCATCACCATGTTCATCATCATTACGATCAACATCATAAGCATGAGAATCAGCAGGTTTAGCATCAGCATAATCATGAGCATCATCAGCATCACCAGCATCCCCATCATCACCATGATCATCGTCGTCATGTTAGTCGACATCATCATCATCACCATCATCATCATCAACAACATGATCACCATCAACCTCATCATCGTAGTCATACACATCGTCTTCAGTATCATCAACTGCATCAGCATCAGCACCAGCATCATCACTATCGCCAAGACGATCACAATCAACATCACTATCGTCATCACCATCACCATTATCCGTTCCAGCATCAGCATCCGAATCCTCATCATAATCATCATCATCGTCATCATCATCATCATCGTCGTCAGCATCACCATCGGCATAACATCGTCCTCGTCGTCAGTAGCATTACCATCATTATCAGCATCGTGATCATCATCACCACCATGACCATCACCATCACCATCGCCGTCACCAGCACCACCACTACCAGCACCGACATCATCATCATCATCATCATCAGCATCATCATCATCATCATCACCACCATCGTCATCATCGTTTATCTCCGCATCATCATTATCAGCGTCAGCGGCATCAGCATGAGCGTCACCATCATCACCCTCATCATCATCATCAGCATCATCATCATTCTCGTCATTACCATCACCAGCATCATCATCCGCATCATCATAGTAAGCAGCATCAGTATCAGCATCATCATCAGCAGCCTCAGCATCATCATCATGCTCACCATCATCGTCCTCATCATCACCATGAACATCACCCGCATCACCATCACCATGAGCATCGTCATCATCTTAGTCGTCATCATCACGATCACAATATCAATCAGTACCGTCATCATGCTCATCGTCATCATCATCATCATCATCATCAACGTCATCAGCATCACCATCATCATCATCACCACCACAACCACAATCAGCACCAGTATCATCATCACCACCACCACCATCCGCATCAGCATCATAATCAGAATCAGCATCGTCATCACCGCCGTCGTCATCATCACAATCAGCACAATCATCCTTGGCATCATCATCACCATCGTCATCATCATCATCATTATCATCATCATCATCGTCGTCATCATCATCACCATCATCACCGTCACCATCACCATCACCAGCACAACCATTGTCATCATCACCATCACAATCATCAGCAGCATTATCATCCACCATAATTCTCATCCACGTCATCATAATCATCATCATCATGATCATCAGCAGCAGCATTAACATCATCCCCATCACCATCATCATTATCATCATCATGATCACCATCATCGCTATAATCATCACCATCATCACCACCATCATCAGCATCATCAATTTCATCACTATCATCATCATCCGCATCAGCATCCACATCAGCATCAGTAGCATCAGCATCATCACCAGCATCAGCAGCATCAGCATCATCATCATCCCCAGTATCACCAGCAACATGACCAGCATCATCACCATGATCATCGCGATCATGTTGGTCGTCATCATCATCCTGACCACCATCACCACCGTTATCGTCATCATACTCATCGTCAAACTTATCATCAAAGTCATCAGCATCTTCATCATCACCAACATCACCATCATCATCATAATCAGCATCAGGTTCCGAAACATCATCATCACTGCCGCCCTCATCAACATCAGCATCGTCATCATCATCATCATCGTCATCATCAGCATTACCACCAACAACATTGTCGAGCTCATCATGACACACATCACCATCACCATCATCACAATCACCAGAACAATCAGCACCATCATCATCATTAACATCACCACCACCCTCCTCCGCAGCATCATCCGTAGCAGCAGCAACATCATCCGCCCTCGGCGAAGCCTCCGGCGCCAGGTGTCTCCCCAGCGACTTCATGTACTTCTTTAGATCGTTCTCGCCAGCGTCGGGGCGGGGAGGGGATGTTGGGGTTGCTCGAGCGGCGCGGCCCGTGACCGCCGCCTACGATCGAGGAAGAAAAGACGGAGGGGGGCGTGTAGGAGAAGAGGGAGGAGGAGAAGAAAAACAGGGGGAAGGAGTACGGAGGAGGGAGCACGAGGACAAGGAATAGGGGAGAGGAAAAGGGCGGGAAGGGGGGGGGCGAGGAGGAAATGGGGAAAGAGGGGAGAGGGGGGCGGAGCGGAAGAGAAGGAGAAGGCAAGCTAGCCGCCCTCGCTCCAGATCTGACATCATCATTATCTTCCCGCTCATCCCTCACCATTGCACCATTGCGCGGAAGTCACTTCTACCCTCAGCTTGGGTGTCCTAAACGACCTCAATCCTGAAAAAGCCCCACCATTTGATGCGCAATCAGACGGGGAGGAGGCCTTGCACGTTTGACGACGAGGTGGCGGGTGAAGGCAGGAAGGAAGAGCCATACACCTTACGACGCGTCGGCGGCGGCGCAATAGCGCCTCACAATTTCTCGCCAATGATGTGCATCCCGTACAATTTCTTGTAAATGATGTCCGTGTACACATACCCGCACTGCGCGCGGCAGCAGCTTTCTTGCCCATTCCAGCCGTGGCGCCCCTGTTTTGCGCACGCAGCGATCCTTGAGCGGCGTGGGCGTCCCAGGGTAGAACACGGCATCCCGAAGTGGGTCCCCTGGTTCTCCGCGAGGCGCTTTTCCGAAAAGCACCAACTGATGCTCCAGCAGCGTATCAGACAGCGGTCCCTGCGTCGAGCGCTGGCGCACCTCCTCGTTGGACACGCGCGAGAGCATTGGATGTTTGATGCCGCGAATTGCCCGCAGCATTCTGCAATGCTCTCCATCTAAAACTATTTATTCTGCCTTGCTCAAACACGCTGCACTCATGCTGTACAGCAGTTTGGGGACCACGATTGCGTCGAAGAGCTAAATAAATCGTTCTCTGCCTTGAGATTGACGTATGCCCCCGCAGCCTCTGCAGACCGCGGAATTCACTAGAAGCCATTCCGAGCCGTCTGGCGAGCTCCCCGCCGACCATCCCGTCGTTGCTAATCGATTTCCCCAGGTATGTGAGCGTGTCAAACGCCTGCACTGTGTCACCGCCCGGGGTCCGGATGTTGCCGTTGCATCTCACCCCGAGCAGCTGCAGCTTCCCCCAGTGCATCTCCAGACCGACTCCTGCGACGGCTGTTTGCACTGCGCGCAGCCACGCTTGCATGCCGGGTGCCGTTCTGGCAAACAAAAGCGTGTCATCCGCATATACTAGCTGTGCGAGGCGGCCTGCTAGCTCCGTTGGGAGGCTGTTCTCCGCGCCCTTCATGACCACCGTCATGAGCAGCACGAGCACAAAGGCGACAACGGACAACCTTGCGAGATTCCAGACTCCTGCGGCCTCTCGTCAGACATGCGGCCCCCATCTCGCACACGGAAGCTGCGGTCCCCGCATATATCTGCGATCGGGTCGACGCAATGTCGCGGCAGCCCGAAGCGCACCAAGGCCACCAACATGGCGTCGATGTTGACGGAGTCGAAGGCCTGCTTCCAGTCGAATGCAAGGATATACGCACTACATGCGCCCAGGCTGTCTCGATCCTTCTGCGGAAGATGCAAGCCGCATCCTGCGTGCCCCGTCCACTCCGGAAGCCAAACCGACGCGATAATAGTCTCCCCTCCGCACCAGCATCAACCAATCGCTTCTTTACCAACGAAGCGGGAATCTTATAGCCCAGACACAAAGAAACCGATCGGGCGGTAGTTTTCTGGCTGCTCCGTGTCCCCACTCGCACGCATTGCCGTCACAAATGTTTTGCGCCAGTCTTTGGGCGTGTCGCTCCCGACACAGCACTCGTTCATGACGCGAGTGATATTGAGCAAGCACTTTTCGTTCTGAAGTATACCCTTCCAGTACCCGGCGGGGATGCGATCCTCTGTGACAGCTCTCTTGTCTCTGAGTTTCCGGATCACTCCACCAACCTCGGCGGCCGCGAAGCAGCCCTCGGTCAGTGGCAAGACTGGGCCCAGAGACGGAGAAGGTACAAGAGAAGCTGGCCTCATCCTCCACTGCACTTTCTCCAAATATTATGCCCTCGTCTCCGCTGTTGTTGTGATCGGCCTGAGGGCTCCACGGGAATCCCGCAAGCAAAATGTAACAAGCTTCCTCGGTTTCCGAAGGATCTTCAACTCGTCCCACGATCCCAAGTGGATGTGATCCAGCAGCCATGCTGACTTGTCAGCCCCGGCGGCTTTCCGCACGAGCTTATGAAGCCGCCGCTGCTCGTCTGGATTGTTGTGCATCCTGGCCGCGGCCCTCTGCGCCATGAGATCCAGCGTGCGTTGCTGGATCCACGGTTGTCGCTATCATTGTTGTCGAAATTGCAAGACAACCTCACCCCCTCGGAAAGCATGTACCACGTCATTCCACTTGCCGCCGAAGCTGTCTCCCGCTCTCGAAGCCGCCCGGATGTCAGCGAACGCTTTCGCGAAGTTTGTCTTGACAAACGGGTCGTTTAAAGCGTCCAGGTCCCTCCGCGCTGTGGTCGCATACGGCCCTTTTTCCACATGGCAATGAATATCGCACGTAACTAAAAAATGATTCGTTTGTAGGTCAGCTTCCCCATGACTCCTCACCAATGTCACGCCGGCAATATCCGGCCGCCCCGCGGGTACGAGGTCAAGTACATTGTGCGTAGCCTCAAAGACCGCGCTCATGTGCCCGACGCCTGCCTCCACGAACGTGGCCTTCTGCTCCGGTGGTGCATTCTCCATCGTGTTGGTTATCATCAGAGACTGGTCCGTACAGAACTGCACAACGAGATCTCGATTTGGAATGGCAACTCTCTCGGTCGTTTCCCTCCCCCATCCGTGCTCGCCCGTTCTGTCCTCCTCGCCTGGCCTGCTTTTCCCAAGCCTCGCGTTCATGTCACCCAGCAGCACGCGCATGCCATTGACGGAGCACTTCTGGAAGACATCGTCCAAACTGCAATAAAAATCTAGTTTTTTCTTCGGATGGTGTGTCATTGTGCGGAGCGTAGGCCGTGCAAAAGCCAATATTGCTACTCCCTGTGCGCATTTTCAGAACAGCTGTCCCTTCAGTATGCTGCAGAAACCCTCTCATTGCATGTTCTGCTCATGGGGCAACTATGAATGCAACGCCTGACCTTTTCCGCCCGTCCAGCTCGGAAACCAAGTGAAAAAATGTGAAACCCATGGTTGCCGAGACTTTGGGACTCGTTCTTCCATGTCTCCTTTATACACCACATCGATGCCCATATGTTCCATATGAGTCTGCATGCAAGTGAATGTCTTGTCTCTGAGGCCCTGCACGTTCCACGTCCCCGCTCGCAACGGTCCGTCTTCGCACAGCCTGCCTCCTCGCCGATGTCCCGGTTCAACATCTTCATGTCGTTCCCGAGGTGGCGGGTGAGCAGAAGAATAAGCATGAGGCGGATGTCCTCAATGAACCTTACTCCACAGGAAGGCAAGAGGAGCACGGGGAGCACAAGGACCATGGGACGGCGGAAGAGGTAAGAAAAGGTGGGGGACGGCAACGTCGAGGCACGACTCGGATGCGGAAATGCAGCCCGCTCTGGAGCGGGTTGCAAGTCCGAACGACGGGAGCAGAGCGCAGATCCTGACGTGCGGCCATCGCTGCGCAGCGAGAGCGCGCGCCGGTGCGAACCAACAACGGCACTATTGAAACAGACGCCCAGGAGACACACAGCTTTGAAAGCATGCGCGTGGAGGAAAATAGTACAACGAAAACAAATCAGGAGGGGCGCCCCCGCTCAAGATGGTACCACGGGAGAGGAGAGATGTATAGTCCTGCAGTGTGACTATACAGAGGAAAAGGGGAGAGGGAGAGACGGGGAGAGAAGGACGAGGAGGAAAACGGGAAGGGGGGCGGGGAGGAGGAGGAGGAGGAGGAGGAGGAGGAGGAGGAGGAGGAGGAGGAGGAGGAGGGAGAGGAGAGGAGGAGGAAAAGGAGGGGAGGGGAGGAGGAGGGGAGGAGGAGGGAGGAGGAGGAGGAGGAGAGGAGGAGGGAGGAGGAAGAGGAGGAGAGGAGGAGGAGGAGAGGAGAGGAGGAGGAGGAGGAGGAAGGTGAGCAACAGGAAGAGGTTGACCCTCATCTCCCTCCCCCTCCCCCTCCCGCGCACCGCCTCGTATCCTTCCCGCCTCACTATCCTCCCCCCCCTCCCTTCGAGGGCCCTCCTCCTCTTCCTCCTCGATCTCATCACCGTCACCGAAATCATTTCCATCCTCAGAAACGGCAGTAGCATCGGCACTATCATTGCACTGGGAGCCGACCCACAAGATACCCACTGCAAGAAACCCAACCCTGAAATCCGCCGAGGTTTCTTGGTCCAGGGCTGGGTTCCTTGCACTTCGGCTGCAAACGAAGAGGCCCACGGCACCATGGCCCGAGCAGTTCCTTGACTGTTGGCGTCAAGCAATTTGACATCAAGAAACTCAACGCGAACTTCTGGCCTTGCACAAGCAGTTTTTGCGTCGGCGGCTAGGCAGAGTAAATGCGTTGGCGGATAAGCTAACTCATCACGGTCACCGTCGTAGCGAATTGCGCCACCATGGAGGAGACGGGGAAAAAAGGAAAGGCGGGCGGCCGAAGGGGAGGAAACGGAGAGAGTGCCAGCCCCGCCGATGGGGACTGCGGCAGCTGCTGCGCCGGGGTTCCAGCGGCGGCGGGGCCCTTTGCGAGCGCCAGAAGTCCAGCGAGTCGACTGCCCGATGCAGTCAGGGGACTGAGGCACCAAGCGGCGGCGGCGCGTTCCCCAGGTGGGAACGCTGCAGGGGCGGCGAGAAGGAACCGCCGAGGGGGGCGCGTCCAGCAAAATGTTGGGCCGGCGGAGGGTGGCGGGCGGCAACAAGACCAAGCCCGGCACCCCAGCGCGGCGGCTGCAGGCAGCAGCTCGGCGCATGGCGGCCAGACCCGGGATCCCGAACGCGAAGT